CACCACACGGGACTACATCGGAGTATTCCACATGTGGAGCAGAAGCCATATCGAGAATAACAATGGTAAAAGCGTTCGTTAGCAACTATGTAATAGTTATCATTAGACTTGGTAAAACCCTTTATTTTGTTGCGCCACTCAAGCCATTTAGAATATCGTCTAAAGTTTTTGTCATTGTATTCTAGCAAACTCACTCACAAGTGTTGGTGTGCATTCTTCGCCACTTCCAAGTAATACCAGCGTTATCGTCTCATCATAACGTTTGCATGTGCGAATGGCGTAGTAAACGTTGTCAATTTGAGTTGGTTCAACATTGGTGATTTTCTTGTAAGGTATCCATTCCAGTCTCAAGTCTTCATTTTTGCTTTCCAAGGAGGATTCAACCAAGTTGGCAATGGCAGGATTATTAAGTGATGCTAACGACATGGTGAATGTCTTATGCTGAACTCGCAGACAGCGAGCAAAATCGTCTTTCTGCTGAATTAGAAAATCCCTTTTCGAAAATGTTAGTTCTCAACACTTGTGTTACATTACACATCTTATTTAGCTCTTGAATCTTTTATATACCTATATTACGTCCGTTCACCTTGCAATGTAAGAGGTGCATTAATAGTCTGATGCTTTTTACTTGCAGTACGCCACAAAAAATGTAACAGCGTGGGGTGATTGAAAAGTTTTGATTGCGTGACCTTTTTCAAAATAGTTTAAACATGTCTTTACCATTACGTTTTATCCGCCCATTGTTCACTAATTATAACTAGTAATATGTCAATCATACAATCAAATCATTACGATACGATACAATACATACGTCGTAATCTTGCAGATGATGCATACAATACCATCAATCATATGGCAATATCACAGATACTGATATATAATTTCAGCAAGATTGCGTAGATCCGCTGTCACGTGTTTACATTTAATAGTTTCTATTACTATTGCTATTTAATATGCATGTGACTGTTTATTTACCACACCTGCATACAGTTACCTGGTTATTGTAAAGTAAACGCAACAATGAGATCACACGTTTAACGGTATCTACAGTAATCGATCGTAAGGACAAGCGGTAGACAGTCAGGGCTTTGTTGACGTTGATCACACTTTTTATGTTAAGGGACAGAAGTATGCACAGTTTAATTTTTATATGCAATAACAAAATTTTTTTGTTGATTGTTCAAAATATCTAATCAAAACGTCAATGTGATTGTATAGGAGCTGACTAACGATGACGTATTCTTGATCAGTTGCATGACTGCAGTGCAAAGCAGATTGCGATGCTAATTTGTAGTCCGAAAAGATATATAAGCAGCATAGTGTAGACTGAGCATCGATCTCCTTATCTTATCAATGAACGAGCATCAATTTACTCTGAATTCATGAAGTCTTTCTTGAAAAACCCGTTATAATTTTTATTTGACATATACGATATTCATACGACTTGTATTTCCAAGCTACGATATCCTGCTACAAGCTCGCTAAAGCTAGTTTTAACATGACATACCGTATATGGCTCCCGATGTTGTTCTTGTCAACCCCGATGTCCATACGATACAAAAGTCGACATCTGGTCTTTGAGTGTTTGCATTTTGGAATTATTGACTGGCAAAGCCGCGTGGGGCCGTATTCGAGATGATGAGATTATGCTCCGATTACGCAACCGTATGGTTTTGAACGTATGCGCAAGAAGGCCAAATTTGGTTGGGAAGCTGTAGATTTCTTGGAACGATGCTTTGCAAAGGATAGCGAGAACAACAGATTGTCAGCTGAGAAACTTCTTGAGGTTTGCATTCAACACTATTTACCACTGGGGTAGGTCAACATCAAATGTGGGCAGCACAATTCTTCCGTTGGCGATATCCTCGAACTATGATTACTTCTGGTGGACTTGGCACAATGGGATACGGTCTTCCCGCAGCTATCAGAGCCAAAGTTGCTAGTTCGGATAAAATTGTTGTTGACATATACACCTATATGTATCAATAAAGGATTTCTTCATATGCACTATCCGATGGCACACCGTTGGTTGTGTTTTCTGGGCAAGTACCGACTTTGGCAATCGGAACCGACGCCTTTCAAGAGGCGGATGTTGTTGGCATTAGTCGTGCTTGCACAAAGGTAACAACCGTGGAAGGATGAGACGCGCGTGAATGTTAATTGCTGGCGGGTAGTGTGCTGACAAGCATTTTATGCAATGTGTAGTGGAATGTAATGGTAAAAGATGTGGCCGAGTTACCACGTCGTATAACCGAAGCATTTGAAATCGCTACGACCGGTCGACCTGGTCCGGTACTCGTTGACCTACCAAAGGATATCACAGCCGGTATTCTTAAGAAACCGGTACCACGAAAATATACGATTCCGTCTCGTGCGTTTAGTAATATTTTATCTTCAGATAATGGCGATGTCACGCTTGACCCGAATATTATTCAGGCGGCTGAGATAATAAACAAAGCTAAACGACCCGTTATATATGCCGGGCAAGGTGTTTTGTCAAGTGAAAGTCCGATACTACTGCGAGAGCTGGCCAAACTTGGTAACATACCCGTTACGACTACTTTGCAAGGTCTTGGAGCTTTCGATGAGTTGGATAATTGTAGTTTGTATATGCTTGGTATGCATGGATCTGCTTATGCCAACCTTGCGATGCAAAATGCTGATGCTATAATTGCATTGGGAGCAAGATTTGACGATCGTGTTACTGGTCATTTGGCTCGTGAGTATTTGTGTAGTTAGTAGTTTTTGTAGCGTATGATATTAATACGAAAGTGTGTTTAATACTACTTTGTCAATTTACATAGATTTTGCACCGGCAGCTAAGCAAGCAGCAAAAGAGGGCCGAGGTGGTATTGTCCATTTCGAGATTAGCCTAAAAAATATAAATAAAGTTGTACAAGCAACGGCAGCCGTCGCGGGAGATGTAACCGAAAATCTTGCAAAGTTTCTTAGAAGAACTTTGTGCGTGGCATCGGTACGGGATAACAAAAAACTGATCACAAGAGAAAGCGGAACAAAAATACCAGCGACATACAAAAGCGGACGGTGAGCTAATTTTTTTGTTACCTCACTTTCGTGAATCAAAAGTAACTTAACACGTGCCTTCATTAGATTCAAAGAATGGCAAAAACAGGACAAAATTTCGATACCGGCTACAGGTGAAAAGAAAATTCCCGGATCTCACAAGCAAAGCGTTACCGTCACAATAAAATTACCGCGCCTAAACCGCCAGATCCGTTATCCATTAACTATAAAAAGAAGAAGAAAAACGTTGCAGAAGATGGATACTGGGAATACATTGGGAAAGTGACGGTCGATAAGTTTAAGACAGAGTTGAAAACTATTGATCAGATAAGCAAAGAAAGGAGGATGAAAGCAAAGCGAAAAGCTAAAAATGCAAGGCTACCACGAAAATTGCGGAAGAAATAATTTGTGTAGATGATTCCTATTTATTTGCGCGCCAGAATCTAATTATAATTGATAATTGCTAAATATGTTAACCATACTATGAATTTAAGGAAGCTTACTATATGGGGCGTGCTGATATATATGTACAGCACATATACTCACATTTTGTCGAGCTATTAGCTTATAACAATAGCTTATAAAATTTTATTGTTATTTTTTTCAAAAAGCATAATCAATTAGCTTCATAACCGTACAAAAATTATTGCACTTTGCATAGTACACAAGAGCGGAGGATATTTTGAAAATAAAGACTTTTCACTATTAAAATTTGTGTTACTCCGTCATTTATTAGCATTAAATACGTACGATAGCGCTTTGAAGAAAAGGGGTTTCAACACTTTTCCCCCGTGAGTGTATGTGACATCGATACTAATACTGTAATTATTAAACTGTAACCTTGAAATAATAACGGTGAGCGAAAAAATCAGATACTTTTGGTACTTTGCCGGGTAGCTTGAAAATAAAGTTGTATTAAAATCGTACTTTGTCGAGGTATATGTAAGAAGTAGGAAGCTCATATTTAATTTATTTAATTGTAACTATTGGATAAAGCTTGAATACCGTAAATAAGCCACTGAACTAAATGTCTTCAAAAAGAGGTCGAGTCTCTAAATGCAAGAAATGCTCGGTGTTAACATTATACCATTGTAAATTGACTTTATTCCTATCAACATGTAACTGTACCTGCAGCTGAATCCAAATCATAACTATTTCTCGGTTTAGGAAAATCTCCAGTATGTAAGAGTTTACTAGAGTATTTACTCTCTTTCTCGAGACGTGATAATGGCTTTACATCAGTATG